AGCTTGTAGTAATTTCACTTCTAATATATCTTGCGTCCGTCCAGCATGCTGGCGTGCGGACGTACGCATACATTCTTCACAGGCTGCTAAATCCTTGGCCCAATTCTTACAACAATCGTTGGTCAACCAAATGCCCGCTTCGCTCCAAGCTGCAGCCCGCATGTCTGTAGTGGATGTTTTTCTGATCTAATTTAGTATTAAATTATGTTTACTGACAAAACTTAATTTGCTCGTTTCGGTCTTATTTGCCGTTTTTACGCGGGCACCTGAGATTCAAACAGCTGGTTCGAGTTCAAGGGTAGAGTGCAGAACCAGAGCTTGAGCATGGCTAGCTGACGATGCCAGTTAAGTCAGAAACAGTCAATGTAGTTTCTCTAGGGCACTTATCGATTGCTGAGTGCTCGTCGTTATGCTGCCGCCTGCGAGGGTTCTATGTCCGAAATTGAAAGGCAAAACGGAGATGTCCATTCCCCTCCTACATTCAGGGCAGGTAAGTGCACGCCACTTCTGTGATACTTTGGGGAGTTCTAATACTTTTATTAGAAGTAGGGGTCATAAACCGTACCGTGTAAGTCGGTTGTCAAACAATTTCACGTTCAGAATTACATTGTTCAGTTGGAGCAGGGCTGACCCAATTTATCGGACCCAAAGTTTAATGACTGATTAACAGTGTTGACCCACATGTACTAAGCCTGTATGGTTACTTAGGTTGAATCACATGTTTACGTGGTTACCGGAAATAGCAACCACACGGAGCCTGTCGCTGCGGTGACCTGCATATAAACACTCCGGTGTAAACTGTGGGTTTTGTTGTTAATCATGCAGCAGCCGCCACCCGTGCACACTTTCACGCTATTTTTTTTCAAGATCCGGAGACTGTCCGCACTGTTCCTGTCAGATCGTGTGTTTTTTTGTTGCGATAACAAGTAATGCGAATTACGATGGAGCACTCATAATAGCATAAACATACACCTTTTCGATGTTGGTTATGACTCTCTGATGACTAATAAGCCAGAAATGGTCACCCTCGTCTCGCTTATCAGTACTATCTCCTGCATGATAGCTAGTAATCACAGGGCGGCACGAGACTGCTCGTAATCTGATCAGTGAACGCACTTTCCACTTTTTACCTTCCAGCTAGCCTTCATCGAAGGCCGTTCTATTACCCAGGTAACTGGTATTTGGGCTGATAGATCATCGTCCATCTGCCCTATGAATCTATTCTTCCGGATTCGGGGTACCTCTACAACTTTCGTTAGACTTTTCTACCGGTGCCATCCGCGAGCTATACGACAGTTGGCACCAAGTGGAGCTTTCAAGTCTTGCATTTGGCCACCTTCGCAGGGGGACTTTTAAAGTTGAACTGACATGCAGGGTTGCATGCTAAACCGAACTAACTTTGAGATTACTTTGATTTAACAATTCTAC